CTCTACTTATTAGTTACTTACTTACTTACTATACTAAGTAGTAGTAGGTAACGTAATATATATATATATATATATATATATATATATATATATATATTTCTTGAAAGCATCTGGATGGTTAGTACTTGGAATGGAAAGATAGAATAATGGACAAAAAGAGATAGCATTTCAATCACATCCCCCGTTGGTTGGCTACGCTTATAGAAGAAAGGGCATTGATTTCTTTACTTGAGGTTTTATTTATGCAGTTTGAATGGGCTTCCTATATGATTGAAATGTATGAATGGATTACTTGGTGAATTAGCCTAGTTCACCCATTTTTAGATCCCATCTCCATGTTATGTTGTTTTTCTGAGAGAATCAAATTGTATTTAGTTTAAAATTTTTTCCAGATCTAGTTTGTTTTGCTAGCTAAACGACTGGCTTATGTCCGAGAATCATGGTCTATTTGCTTGAATGGTTCTTAGGTAGCTTATAGATATGAGGATCCTCACCTATCAAAAGATTATAATTTCGGAACTCCTGTCTCCCTTTGAAGTTTGTCACAATTTTCCTGTAATTGGTAACTATATTGTGGCATTTTCCTTATTGCCGAGTTCCTTTCCCGTGTTCTGATGGGCTGCTTTTTAGTTGTGGACTATAATTATTTACAATTATACATGTTTGTGTGTGTTGGCCTTTTGGGATGCTGACTGTGTTTGCACACATATCTTTATCATCCAGGTATGAAGGGAAGCCAGAAGATGTCCTAAATCCTAAAAAGAAGCAATTGGAGAAGATCACACCGGTAACCATTTTACTACTCATTTCTAAATAAGTTTTAAACTAGTCTTAATATTGGTTTGTTGCACTGTTGAGTACACCATAAGTGATAATATTGGTTCATGATAAGAGAAAAAGTGTTGGCATGGTACCTCAATGGACAAAAGACAGTACCTCAGCTTTGACTGATACCGGTTGATCTTCTCTCTTATCTCTCACGTCATCACCATCCATTATTTCACTGGATGGAGTTCATCCCAATGGATGATTGTTTTCTGCACTTCCATTGGATTGTTGTATGGATATCAGTTTTTTGGTATTATATACACCAAGTGCGATAGTGCTTTGTCAAAATAATATTCAGCATCAACAGATGCTTTTGATCTTTTTTCATTTTTTTTTCTCCTGGATTGGTTTTTATCTGGTTATAAAGATAAGGAGTTGAAGTCTTAATTGATTATACTTTGAAAGATACAACCCCTTAGGTTTCATCTAATTGGTTATATCTATTGAAGCCTTCAATTATTCCAAAGGATTGTTTTGGTGCTCAGCACTCTCTATGAAATCAGTTTTTCTCCATGTGCATGTGTACTTGCATCCAAACGGAAGCGTATATTGACTCTCTCTCTCTCTCTTTCTCTCTAGAGCATAGTTATCAAAATTGTACTTGACCAGCCGGTCTAATTGGTTCGATTGCCAACTGGTGCCTTGGTTAGTCTAGTCTAAAACAAAATCAAGTTTGGTTCAAGACCAATTAAAATCAATGTTTGACCAATTTTGATCGTTCATGCTGTCCAGTTTGACTGGTTCGATGGTCTAAAAGAAAATTGAGTAATGTAATTTATTTTATATTTTAAACTATTATTTATACTTTTTCTTTATTTTTAGAACTCCAGTTCAGTCGGTGTAACTGGCAGTTGGACTAGCTTTTACTGGCCCAGATCCCTCACCAGATCAATAGCTAGTGTCATCTTGATAACACTGCTAAGGAGATGTGAACTTCTGTACACTCTGTATCCAATTAACCATTTCATTATGAAACAAAGAAAGCAGTCATTGTTTGCATCTGATTAATGGTGGTTTTGCTTCATGGTTTCAGCATCTATATACTGATGGCAAGGGCATAGCAACATTCAAGGGAGTCCCATTCATGACGTCGGCAGGGCCCTGCACATCATCCCTTGTCAATGCAACCATCAAGTGAGAGAAAAATTTTGTTTATTATAAATCAGAATATGTTGTCAGGGCCATGCACATCATCCCTTGTCAATGCAGCCATCAAGTGAGAGAAAAACTTTGTTTATTATCAATCAGAATACGTTCTTGTTGACTTACATACCTATTGTTTAGTGGCTCATGGGATACTTGATATCAATTTTGTGGTGGGCAATCAGGAATTATCTTAGAATGGATCATCATACTCTCTCTCTCTAGAATGGCTCATCCCTACTCTCTCTATACAGTGGGTAGAAAGGAATTATCTTGGAGTTGTTCCTTTGTCTGCAGTGGCTAGTATGAGTTGCTCCTCTCTCTCTCTCTAGACAGTGGTCACACATATTTCATTATGTACAAAAAATGAGTACCAGTACTAAGAATGTAATTGCACCCATATGATACAGATGTTAGCTACTGCAGCAAAGCTGTAGCCAACAATTTCCTAACTCATGGCCCAAAGAACTCAACAAAACTACACATACAACCCGACCCAGATCTACTCGTTATCAATGTCTCACTTCTTGTAGCTCGATCCCTTGCAAACGACTCTGCTAAAGCATTCTTCTGTGAATAACATGTATAAAGATAACTTCTTATATAGGGATCTTGAACTTCATTCGATAGCATTCTCAGTCACCACAATAATTTCATCTCCTCTTTACACAAAAAATAGCATTCTAATCCCCTTCCATTAGTAAGTTTACACCAAAAATAACATAATAATCCCTTAGCATTATTATTCTATTGTAATTTAGTACTGCTGATTTTAATCTTTGTATTAAAGATTGTTACTGCACAGTACATGTTACGAGGTGTGAGTTAATTCAATTGGAAGGCTACAAAAGGACAAGGGGTCGGTCCAAAAGGACATGATTGGAAGTAGTGAGAAAAAATATGGGAACTTATGACCTCAAGGCTTCATTGAAGGTATGGCCTTTAATAGAGAAGAATGTCGGATCAGGATTCGTGTAATTGACTCCAATTAGTTGGAAAAAAGTTTGAGGTGATGATGATTAAAGCTTATTACTCTGTTGGATAAGCAGTTCCATTTCCCACGACCTAAGAATGAACATAGAATATTGTCATTGAAATTAACCTTGATTGCTCCCCTTTTTGTATCTTTTTTTACTCCAAAACTTCTTTTGAGTTTTATGCATCAACTAATATTTTGAAATTCCCCAAATCCCTATCCTCACAAAGCCCAAAAAATAGTCATCAATCTCTTTCTCAAGGGATTACATCCCCAAAATTTAGAATCTATATTTTTTTCCTAACATGAGTTTTGCACAAGGGAGTAGATGGACACTATTTACTCTCGCTGGAGTATGAAGTCTTTTGGCTCATGAAAATATGAATATGTTGTGATACTTATGAGTCATACAAATGCTATCATTGTTCAATAAAAAGAGGTAGGGCAATGAAGAATGGGGCCCATGAGATTGACCTTACCCAGTATGTGGATCGCTCTCTAGTGATCACCATCCATCCTTCGAATGGATGGCCATGACAGCCGTCGCCATTCTCTCATCATGCTCTTAATGGATCACAGTGAAAAGTTCCAAATGCATAATCCACTCTTTCCCCTAGAAAGCCAAGTCTTATGATCTTGAGCCTCTTCTCAAATGTGTGGGCTTTGTAGGGCCGTGACTTTATGATAATTGGTAATGCCGCGCTTCAAACTCCTAGTGAAAAATGCATTCTTGGTGAGGGAAACCTTTGTGATAGCCTACAAAATTATTTTTGCAGATCTGATGGATTTTTTAATACTTGATATAAATAATATATAAAGCATGTTTAAAGATTATTTTCATGACTTGAAATTCATTTTCTTTTCCAAGGTCAGTGCTTTTTTGTAATGATTGATTTGAGAGGCTTTCTGGTGTTAAAACTGTTGGAAATTGTGGCCTTTGAGGCCCTTTTATTCAAATATCCAATTATTATGGGACTAAATATATTAGTTAATAATATCGTGGTTTTGTTATAAAAAGAGTTATACATAGATGTAAATATTACTAGGTCTGTAGTGCCTAATTAATTGTACTCAGAGTTTTAATAACTAGGTGACAACTTGTTAAAACTCCCAATACCTTTTAGGGTGAATAAAGATCAGAGTTATAATTTGGATCTCAACTCCTAAAGAGCATCAAATATCATAAGTAATTAATGCGGTAGGGACTCATTAAAATAAAAGGTTTCTTGAGAAGTGTAATGAAAGAAACAAAAAAGGGCCGAGGGAGCAAATTAGCTCGTATTGCACACCTGTCACCATGGGGTTCAGCCTATAAGATTTGAATTAGGACCAATGTTTTTTTGTGTAGTTTGGGGACAGATCCAAGTATTGGTAATCCTTTCAAAGCATTGTTTTTGTTTGTTTGCGAGGAACCAACAAAAACTACATTTTATGGAGATTTGAGATAATATAAACTCCACCATTGCTGGTCCCAAGCTTGAATGAGAAAAGCGGAGGGTTATGTTAGGTTGGCAGCCATTGTAAGACTTTTACCACATCTCTACTATGAATAGCCAATCCCAAATAATTGAGATAAAGCTCGAATGATGATGATGATAATGATTTGAGATGATAAAACTACAGATCCTGCTTTACACTCCCATATCTCATGCGTTTATGGACAAAGAATATACCCTACTTGCATGTAACATAAGGGTGTCCATTATCTTTAAGGAGTCATATATAGATAGGTGACAACTTGTTAAAACTCTCAATGCCTTTTAGGGTGAATAAAGATAAGAGTTACCATTTGGATCTCAACTCCTAAAGGGCATCAATTATTATAATTAATTAATGCGGTAGGGACTCATTAAAATAGAGGGTTTTTTGAGAAATGTAATGAAAAAAACAAAAAAGGGCCGAGGGAGCAGTTCGCTCGTGTTGCATACCTATCACCATGGGGTTCGGTCCATAGGATTTGAATTATGACCCTTGCTTTTTGTGCAGTTTGAGGACAGATCCAAGTATCAGTAATCCTTTCAAAAACTACATTTTAAGGTGAGATTTGAGATAATATGAACTTCACCATTGCTGGTCCCAAGCCTTAATGAGAAAAGAGTCGTGTTAGGTTGGCAGCCAACGTAAAACATTTACCACATCTCTATTATGAATAGCCAATCCTTTGAGATAAAGCTCGAATGACGATGATGATAATGATTTGAAATGATAAAACTATAGATCCTGCTTCTATGGACAAAAAGTATATGATTTGAGATGATAAAAGTATAGTTCAAAACACTCCCATATCTCATGCTTTTATGGACAAAGAATATACCCTACTTGCATGTAACATAAGGGTACCCATTATCTTTTAGGAAGGTGCCTTACTTGCCTTAGCCATGGTTTCCGTACCATTATAGGTCGGCATTGAGATGCCATGTACCAAAAAGTTTTGTGCTATGGGATACTATTGATCTCATGGCATTAAGGATTTGTTTGAAGGAAGCTTGGGCTTCAGAAGTCGAAATATCTTAACGTTTCGGTTCCATAGGGGAAGATAAAAGAGGTATTACTAATTTTCTCCTTTCGGGAAAAAAAAATAGAAGTTACCCCTTCCATCGAGCTGAAATGTGCAGAAGTTTCAGCTTTCGAAGTCAGAAATTCTATCAAATAAACATGATACAGGGTGTGGTTTGTATAAGATTGCAACCTTAAACAATCAAATTAAGGTGCATCTCCAAATTTTATCATAAGATGTAATTTTGGCGTTAAAAATCTTTTGATGGCCTAAGAATCTATTTTTATATCTAATTATAAATTTTTAAATCCAAAATTGATTCAAATCAAGCAAATACATAAACACATGAAAATCTTGAAAATAGACGGTCCAGATAATGTAT